GTTTTTATCTAAAAATGGACTAAGAGATCCAGATTTCTGTATTGTTTTACAGCTTTCTGTCCTTAATACTCTTATATCCTTAAAAATTCTTCTTGCTGACATATAAGGATGCATGCTTCAATGCATTGTCTAATTCTTCAGCTGTTACATATTTTGGGAATTTGTTTATCCTTATCTGTCCGAAACGTTTACAAAGTGACACACTCTCTGTAGTCTTGTCACTGTAGAAAAAGTAAATATTTGTGAAAAGTTATTCTCTATCTGTGTTGTAAATATTATCTGGTCTTTGTTCTATTTCTCCTTCTTTCAAATCTGGTATTAATATGTTTTATAATTTCTTTCAGCCATTATGCCCTTTCCACCGTAATGTCTCTTTCTTTAACTTAGAGGCAGTAACTCCTCGAGATGCTAGATCAGCAGGGTTCTCCTTGGATGGTACATGAAACCAATGATGACCAATTAATGAGGTTATTATCTCTCCTATTTGCCACAAATGTCTTCCATGTGCTTGGATGTTTCTGTAGCCAAGATAATACAACGTTCGAGTCAGTGTATGCATAAATGTGCTGTCTTGGTACATTCAAATGTTCCACATCTCAATAAGCATGTTAATAAGACCGCTCCACATAACTCCAAACGTGGCAACGATATAGTTTTTACGGAGCCACCTTACGAGTGAAATTAAATGAATATGGATCTTATGGTTAGAATTTGACTCTTGCTCTCTTATGCTACATAAGCATCTGAGAATCCATAAAGTTCTAGTTTTGTATCTAAACTAGTTGTATTTAATATCTCTCTACAGTAATTCAGATAAACAGTGTAATTCTTGAACTTGAGCCAATTATATGCCAAGTCACTAGGCACTTCTTGGTCCCAGGTTACACCAGTAAGCCATAGCTTCTGCAAAAAAATCTTACCAATGATGATAATGCCATCCCATTATTAATTTGGCTACATCTCGTGCAATAGATTTTTGTTGGAGATGATATATCTGGAATATTACTGAATACTGAAACTCATCTTTTGTTCTGTCCCATACTATTCCTAATGTTTTAATTGTACCTTCCAGTTGAAACTCTAACTCAGTATTCATCATCTGCTTTTCTCATATAACAAAAGTCTGTATCAAGTATTCCATTGTAACTGAAACTTGCCAGCAGCCATTAATCCATTCATCTCATTAAATCTTTTAGCGGTTTCTATTGTATCTGCACCTGATAATAAGTCGTCCATATAAAAATCTGTAGTTGTATTTTTCGGATACTTATTCGTATGTGTTTCAAGTTGATGCAGAGTTTTTGTCGCTAAATAAGGAGACTGGCAGTACCGAAAGTGACTCTAGTCATTCTATAATGTTTAACGTCTTCAGTAGAATTGTTTTCCAAAAGAGACGTTGATAATTTGAATCGTCAACTTTAATTTGCAAATACATTTTTGTAATGTCGGCCACTAAACAGATCTTGTGGTATCGCCATCGTAGAATGAATCGTAAATCTGGTTGAAGACGAGGACCAACCATGAGACTATCATTGAGTGAATTTTCCGTTTTTGTATTTACACGAAGCATCCATTACAACTCTCACTGTCGTCTTTTTCGGATTAATCACGGCATGATGAGGTATATAAACAGCTGTTGGTATCTGTCGATCATGTTCCTCAACTATCTCTTCCATGAAATCTAAATTTATACTCCTTCATGACATGACTGTATTGTTTCATTAAATCAGAATCTTTTTCAAATCTCTTCTCCAATTGTATCAGTCGTCCTTCAGCTATATCTCTCGATGATCCATATTGACAAGGTATATTTCTTTAAATGTAGGCGTACTATAAATCTACCACTTTTATCTCTAGTATAAGTCTCTATACATTTTCTCACATCGACTCTCCTCTTCAGTAAGAATCTTCTCATGTTTAGAATCAGATTCCATCTCCCAAAATTTTTGTAGTAAATTATCCTCAATTGTTAGATGCATAATTGATTTTGTAGCTTTGTATAGTCTTTTGTGCAACCGGCCTAACAAAATCCACCCGAGGTATGTATTTTGCGCTATAATGGTACCACGGGGGCCTTTTCTTAATCCTTCTTTCAGGATCTATGTTTTTCTGCACTCAACAGGATATCAACCTTCCCAGGTGTGTCAAAGTATGGATCTTAAATCCAAGTTGTGCAGAAAGTTCTGTTCGCGTATTCGTTGAGCAGGTAGTGCCCGAGTAATCGACTTCAAAACAAACGCCTGTACTGGTACAGTGAAGTTTGAATCATATCTCGATTGTGCAACGAATGTAACCATGCTAGTGGATGTGAGACTTGCTTTGTCATTGTCGCCCAGTCCATTAATTGTGCATCTGACTGTAGTTTTCTTTAATTAGGAACTGTGCAGCGGACTCCGTTATAAATGAACCTTCGGATCCCGGGTCTATCAGAGCACGCAAAGAATATGTAGTCCCATTTGTTGTATGAATTTTAACCAATGCTGTGGCCAACAGCACATTTTTGGTCATTTCCTGGTCCGCGTAATGGGCCGCTACATTGTGTTCGACTGGTGTTGTAGCTACTTCAGGTTGTCTATTATCTCGTATGTGTGAACTTCCTCCTGCATCTGGAGAAAGATGATCAGGTGTTTCCTTCGGGGTGAATAAGTGAATGGTGTTTCTTACCACACCTCCGACATGTAGACCTTTGTTTGCATTTGTCAACGGTATGATACGGAATCAAACAGTTGTAGCATAATCTGTTCTGTTCCACGAAGCGTTTGCGATCAGTATATGTAAGGTGGGCAAATTCTTTGCATTGATATATAAAGTGATTCCCGTGACAATATTTACAACTAGTTTTGAATGTCGTGTGAAAGGTGTTCTGCCTTGTACTAGGTCTGGACATGGTGGATTTTGATGTTAGGTTGGATTGCGGATTGTTTGTTCTAGCGTAATTAATTGTGTTTCTTGTTCCTTTATTTGATTTCTTTTCTTTCTTTCTTTTCTTTATTAATTAGCTAGGTTAGGTTTTGTATATATATAGTTAGGTTAGGCTAGTTAGGTTAAGATAGTATAATAGGTTAAGTTTATTATTGAATTTTTTTGTTTTTTGTTTTGTCTGCGCTGAGGTGTTTGTGGTGTATCACCGGGATTGCACGGAGGTAACTCCAGTCTGGTGTGCCCGCTCCGGGGGAAACTGGAGCAATTAGTGGAGGCGCTAGCCTCCATCCGCCCGACTTGGGTCGGGCGCGGCATCGTTTTGCCATCAAGTTATTGGCTGGTGGCAGCAATTTCTTCCCGTCCCCCGCCGAGGGGGATCAAAGTGTGTGTCCCTGTTGGAGACTTAGCGTTCTGGTCCATGTCGGACTCGGTCACGCTGGCGGACGCCGACACGGTGCGGTCGGCGAGGTCGCGGCCCGTCTCTATGGCGTTGGTCGCGGGCATCAGCGTCGTCGATCGCGCTCGACGCGCTCAATGATGGTGGAGGACGAGATGTCCGGATGCCTGGTGTCCAGCGAGGACGGACTGGCAAAAACGGCCGTGCCGAAACGGCCGCACGCGGACGGACCGGCCCTTCCGGGACGACGGGCGGGAGTGTCGGCCGTCCAAAATCCCCTGCCCGTCGTCCGGGAATGGGATTGTATCTGGCGGTGCCCGTGGGCCGTGGCACAAAGAATCCGGCAACGTCGCCGAAGTCCCGGCGGCAGGAAAAACGAGGGGACGACGGGATGTTCGTCCGACCCTCGGAGGTCCCTGCGGGAAAGGGGAAGGTCCCCCCAATGGATGACTCGCAGCCTGTGGCCGCCTTCAGGGCGGAGGCCCAGAGAAAGCTCGGGGCTGCCCTGGACACTATGCACAGGTGCGGGAACTAAAGGGGACCGACCTTGAAGGAGAGCATCAGCTCCGTGATGCTGATGGCGGAGGAACTGGACGGGAGTGCCGTCATCGACAGCGAGTTCACCGCGAGCGCCGTCAAACGGCGAATGCTGGAGGCGCAGGTGGAGGATAAGGAGAACAAGGAGCTCCGAAGCCAGCTCCAGGCCCTCCAAGCCCAAATGCGGCAACTCGCGGCGAACTCGGGGTCGCATCTGGCTGCTTCCCGCGCGCCGCAGGGGTCTCCGAGGGTAAGGGCACCAGGCCCGACCCCCGAACCGGTTTAGTCGGGGCCTTCAGGGCGGATATTGAGGGCGACCGGGGAAAATTGATGCCCGTATCGGTGCCCAAATTGAGAAGGGCATCCGTGAAATCAAGGCTGCCCTGGGCATCAGCTCCCCGGCGTCAACAATCCGCCCTGAATACCGCCCGCCGCTACAAAGCGATGGGCGGTACGATGGCCCGCATCCCTGGCGCGGGGGTCCGGGGTTTAGGGATGCCCCCCATCTGCGCGGGGCACAAGGCGCAGACTTCTGCCTATTGGGTGGTTGCTAGCCGGCAAACATCCGGCAGCCAACAGCCGGGGCCGTCGGGCGCAGGGCGCGCGCAGGATGGCTGGACTACAGTGGTGAGACGGGGCGACAAAAACCGCAGCGTCCCTGAGAGGCAGACCCAGAGTACAAAGTTCAGAGGACTTCCCTCTCAGGGGAAGAAGGGCAAACCGGCCCCGCCGTCACCATCCAAACTGCGCGCACCGCGCTTTTTAGTCGTGTCGCTCTGCCCGGAAGCGGAGGCTGCGGGTATGACCTACTCGAAGGTCCTCAAGGAGGCGAAGGAGAAGATCTGTGTGTCCTTGGGTATTGGAAGTCTGCGCTTCAAGATAATGGGGCCCGGATCTTAGAGATCCCGGGGTCCCAGAGGAGACCAGGCTGACGCGCTCGCGTACAAACTACCAACGTCTTCCCGGACGGTACGGTTCGCGTCGCTAGGCCCACCAAAACGGCCGAGATGAGGCTGATGGGCCTGGACGACAGTTAAATGGCGGCCGCCGTGGCGCAACATGGCGATGCACGGCGGACGCCGTCAATGTCGGAGAAATTCGGCGCGGCGCATCGGGCCTGGGCACCTGCTGGGTGCGGGCCCCATTAGCCGCGGTTAAGCAGTGACGACGGCAGGGCGGTTCGTGTCGGCTGATTATCAGCCGCTGCGGAACTGTTTTGCTTGTGCCTGGAGAGCGGGCACGTGGTGGCGATGCTCGCACGATAGGACCTGGCTTGTGTTATTGGGGTTCCCGGCCATAAAATGTTCGGCGACCCCACAGTTGGTTTGCGCAGCGGCGGGTCGCCCAGCCGACCACCGGGTGGGGTCACGTCCCGGTCCAAAAGACTGAGGGGATCCGCACTGTCGTTACAAATGTCGCCGGGGAGAGGCTGATTGGACAACGGTCAATAATGGCAGTCCATCGCTGGCTGGTCGGATCTCAACCACTGCGCGCGCGCCCAAGATCTGCTTCTGCAGAGCGTGGCGCAGTTGACCTTGCAGTGGTCGCCGAACCATATCGTGTCCCACGAAGTGACCATTAATCGGCGTGTGTGGCCATTGTCGGCGCGTGCGTCGCGACCACATCGTCAGCCGCCTATTCGGCGGAGCGGGGTGTATGTGAGTTGGGGGAAACCGTCGTTGTCGGGACATACTTTCTCCGAACAGGACTCTCGCCGAGTTCGAGCAGTTCATGGACGGGCTGGGGGCCGCTTGGGCTATACTCGGCCCGTCCAATGATGGTGATGGGGACTTCAATGCCAAATCCACGGCATGGGGCTCCCCCATCACCGACTCTCGAGGCAGGGTATGGAAGACTGGGCGGCCGCGGCCGGCCTGGTGGTGTTGAACCGAGGGTCGGCCGCCACGTGCGTGAGACAGCAGGGGAGTCGCATGTCGACGTATCCCTCTGCAGTCCAGCGATCGCACAGAGGGTGCGGAGCTGGCAGGTGTTGGATGAGGTGGAGACGCTATCCGATCATCGTTACATTCGGATAGACGTTCTCCCCTCACCCGTAGCTCCGCACCCCGGTCGCCAGGAGAGGAATGTCCCACAACTCCCCAGATGGGTGTTGAAACGTCTGAATAAAGACGTGCTGATGGAGGCTTCCATCGTCCAGGCCTGGGTTCCCATACCGGAGGGGCCTGTGGAGGTCGACGCAGAGGTGGGCTGGTTCGGTGAGGCTCTGTCGCACATTTGCGACGCGGCGATCGAGCCGGCCCTCGACCTCCTAGGCGTCTGGTGTACTGGTGGTCGGAGGAGATAGCGGCGTTGAGGGAGGAGTGCTCCGCCGCCCGCCGCCGGTACACCAGGCACCGCCGACTCCGGGGGGGCCGCGACGCCGACGAGGAAGCACAGCTGTACGAGCAGTACAAAGAGAGGAAGAAAGCTCTGCAGCTGTCCATCAGCAGGGCCAAGGACTGCCAGGGAAGAACTGCTGGAGACCCTTGACAGGGATCCATGGGGGCGTCCTTATAGGTTCGTCAGGGGCAAATACGCCCCTGGGCGCCCCCGTGGCAGAGGGTCTCCAGCCGCAGGCTGGGGGAGGTGTTGGAGGAGCTGTTCCCGAGACAGCCTCCTTCACACCTCCTCCGATGATGCCGCGTGGCAGTATATAGCGGCGTCAGCGCTGCTGCGGTTCCCATGCCATCACCGTGGATATCGCCGCGGCCGTGGATAAACTCCGGGGCAAGAATGTCGCCCCGGGTCCGGATGGTATCCACGGCCGCGTCCTGGCCTTGGCCCTAAACACCCTAGGGGACCGACTCCGGCGCTTGTTCAATGCGTGTCTGGAGTCGGGACGGTTTCCCAATCAGTGGAAAGCGGGTAGAGTGGTCCTGCTCCGCAAAGCGGAGCACCCCGCAGGTTCGGTGGTTCCCTCGGCGTTCCGCCCCATAGTGCTGTTGGACGAGATCGGCAAGCTCTTCGAGAGAATCTTGGCGGGCCGACTCGTCCAAACTGTCTCAGGTCCCGATCTCAGCCCGAAGCAGTTCGGGTTCCGAGAGGGGCGCTCGACGATAGACGCGATCTCGCGTGTGCGCTCCTCTCGGAAGAGGTGTGTGGTGGGGTGTTGTTGGCGGTCTCTCTAGACATTAAGAACGCCTTCAACACCCTGCCCTTTGCGACTATTAGGGAGGCGCTGCAGTACCATCACGCGCCTCCCTACATTCGGGACGTGATCGGGGCCTATCTCGAAGACAGGTCTGTGCTCTGCACGGGGCGGAACAGCGTTGTAGTGTCGAGGGAAATGCAACGCGGTGTTCCACAGGGATCGGGTCTGGGCCCGATCCTGTGGAACATCGGGTATGATTGGAACCTGCGGGGCGCCCTTTTAACGGGCACTGACCTCGTGTGTTACGCGGATGACACCTTGGTCACTGCCCGGGGGCGGGACCTACGGGAGGCTACCCGCTTTGCCACGGCAAGCGTGGCGCTGGTCGTCGGCCGAATAAGGAGGCTTGGGCTCCAGGTGGCGCTGGAGAAGACCGAGGTCCTATGTTTTCATGGGCCTCGGCGCGCGCCACCTCCGGATGCCCAGCTGGTCGTCAGTGGCCAGAGGGTGGGGGTCAAGCCCTGTATTAGGTATTTGGGGCTTGTGACAGTCGTTGGAGCTTCCGCGCTCATTTCCGGAACCTGGTCCCTTGGCAACAAATTTTATGCCAAACGTGAGGGGCCCGGGAGAAGGTTCCCGCCGCTTATACCTCGGTGTGGTGCGGTCCATATTTTTTATGGGGGCCCTAGGTAGGGAAAATGTGGCCTGTCTTAACAGGCCACACTTTTGGCCATCAAAAGAGGCTACCGCACCATATCCGGGGAGGCGGCGGGTCTGCTGGCGGGGTCTCCTCCGTGGGACTTGGTAGCAGAGCTCCGCGCGTCATATAACTGGCGCGCGGAGCGTCGTTCCGTGGGGAGGCACCCGCTGGTCATGAGATCGAAGCGCGGAGGTCCGACTTTCGGCGGATCCTCAGGATCAGATGGAGAGAAACTGGCCAGTCCATCGGCCGGCCTGAGGACCGTCGAGGCTGTCCGTCCCATCCTCAAAAGATGGATGAATAGGAGATGGCCACTGACGTACCGCATGACACAGATACTGTCCGGGCACGGGTTTATATATATCTGTGTCATGTGGCGAGGAAGGAGCCGACGACCGGCTGCCACGAGTGCGGAGGTGTGGAGGACACGGCGCAACACACGCTGGACGAATGTCCAGCGTTCGAGAGTGAGCGCCGTGTCCTCACACGAATAGTGGGGGACGATCTCTCGCTGCCGAATTTAGTTCGGAGGATGATCAGTAGCGAGAGATCGTGGCTGGCGGTGAGCTCCTTCTGCGAGGAAGTTATCTCGCGGAAGGAGGCGGCGGAAAGGGAGCGGGAGTCGATCGTCCCGCTTCCCTCCGCCGCAGAAACACTAGCCTAGAGGTGGGGGCGTACCCAAATATTATCCCCCACTGGGGCCGGGGTGACTGCCTTGGAGGCAGTCCCCCAATTTAAAGGCCCCGGAGGTGTGCGCGTGTACCCACACGCCTCCAATATAGGGTTAAATAGGTCGCCCTAACCACAAAACGAGATGGGGCCTGCCCTACAACATCTACAGGGCGGGCCGTCGCCGTCGGAGCTGGGGTAGAATGCACTTGCGAATCCCCTGGCTCCGGCATAGGCGCTCGTAGGTACACCGTGTGGTTTTTTAGTGGGTACAAGTCCCACACACCACCTCGCCATCCCTCCGGCGGGGTGACGGTCTTTTGAAGATTTTTCCACACGTTAAAAAAAAAAAAAAAAAAAAGGTCTGGACATGGTCTTTGTGGATTCCAACATCTCAAGAGTGCGAAAACGTGACTCAAGGTAGCTGCATAATTGTTTAAATGTCGGCAAGCTATTACCGTCGTCTTCTAGACTGATTTGTTGTTCCCATAAACGGATAGATTCTGGATCTAATTTAGTGACAGTTAGGTGAACTAGAATTGCATCCCAACTCAAGGTGTATACTCCAATATTGTTCAATGCACTTAGACATTCATTTGTTGTGTCAAGCAGGTTTTTAATAGTTCCTGCTGATTCTGTAGATAGCGACTTTTGTGATATATATATTTAGAATAGATGTGACGATAAATCGTTTATTATTATATCGCTTTTGTAATATCACCCACGCATCTTCATAATTAGCTTCACTTATGGGTATGTGTTTTAATAATGTTGCTGCTTCTCCACTCAGACTAGACTTAAGATAATGTAGTTTTTGTACGTCCATAAGTGCTGAATTTCGATGAATAAGCGACACAAATAAATCATGAAATGGTATCCACTCGGAATATTTTCCTGTAAATACGGGAATATTAATATGGGGTAATTTTAATTCCGGAGTCATAGCTGTAGGTGCTTTCGACTGAGACAACGTGGTCTGATTACTATCTGAAGTCGGATTAGGTGAACAAAATGTCTTAAGAATCTCCTTCATCTCACATTTAGCAGCAGTAAAAATATCTTCAGTTAAATCATAAATTTCATTCTTTATGTAATCTGATTCATGTATATTAATCTCAGTGGTTATCATTAATATTTGATGATTTTGTTTAAAGTTGTTCCATAAATCTTCTAACAATTCTAATTTTACTTGAGCGTATGTTTCCGTCAGTCTAGCTTTAGGTGTTTTCTTAAAGTTTTTTAAAGCCTTGTCTAATTGTTTATGTAATTCCATTTGTGTTTTAATTAAATTCGCCATGTTAAATTATCACAAAATAAAGTCCAAATAAAGTATTCACAGAAACAATTTACTAATCAGAGAAAACACAAAATGTCATTTAAACAGTATATTTTAAAGTCCTTGCAATGCAACACGAATTATTCTAAGTCTCTGACAGATGCATATGGTTACAAGTTAATAAAATATTGCTAATATTTCAAAGTTCCAAAACACTCAAATTTCTAAAGTTATTAGGAGTATCAAATTTTTCTATTTGATTAGAAGAAATTATTCAATGTTTTTAGGAGTATTCAAATTGCAAGTTTTTAGGATTATTAAATTTTAAAGTTTTTAGGAATGTCTACTAAATGTTTCACTACAAAGTTACTTTTAATCACTTTTAATTCACTAAGTTCCACTTTTAATTATTTTGTACTCACTGTTCTTTAAAGTCCAAAGTCCTTTGTCACTTTCACATTTTCTTCACTTATCCACTTTTGTCACTTTTACTTTTTCTTCACTTATCCACTTTTCTTCACTTTACCTTTTCACTGTCTAAACACTACGACGCGATATACTAAGCGAACGCGATTTTTTTTAGAATCCGGCTCGAAGGACCAAATGAAGACGTCCGCGCCGCGATATTCAGACAACCCAAAAATATCGAAATAAAACACCATATACGAGGGAAAGAGTATAATGATATCAAAAAATGGTGTTATAAAATACTGAATAATAAAATTTTACAATTGTGTATATCAATCGATGAAAACGAAATAATATCGAGTTTCAGAAATCTAACAGCGCCATCTAGTATTCATTTCGGAACTAAATTACGTAAACAACATTTGCATTCTACAGATAATCATTGTGAAATATATAACCTATTTGCTACATTATTTTTATACTAACAATACTATTTAATTATACAGATACTACATTTATAATCAATACATACTAGATATAGTGGCGCCCTCAACAAGGACTATCCAGTTTAAAAACAGAACGCAGTGATAGTGTTGCAATAGTTATATTAATATGTAGTAAAATTCAAGTAATTAATATAATCAGGTTTTTAATAATCAGTATTTGATACAATTATACTGTTGAAAATCGAGTGACGCGCTTATTTTAAAAACCCAGGACACTTCAAAAACTAGGACATGTCCTGGGAAAACAGGACGGTTGGTAATATTAGCGGTAGCTCAATGCCATGTTCACGTAATATGTTGTGAATATTGGTTGCCGTCGGCATCGTCACCACCCGTTATTGTATGCGGCGCGGATGGGACGTAATTAAACCGCAGCGCTCCACTGTGCCTGTGTCTGATGCAGAGACTGACGTGTACCAATAAAACAGGAGCGGGCTGTTTGCGGCCGACATCACTGTTTGAATGGAAAACGTAGCGCCCGCGGTACACGATCACGTGACACACGCGCCGTGACGAAAGAATATATACACACAACATACAAATATATATAACTTGCGCTGCTCATTGCCAGACACTTAATACTGTTACGAACAATATATGAAAATATTGAGTTTTATAAATTAACGAATTTGATATGACATTTTTTACACCTTTGTTACCTGCCAAAGGAACCTAGATCGTGATCCAGGTTTCATGTGTTGGGATCGTTCTTACCTGTGTTGGGGACACACAAGAACTTTCACATTTGCTAATAAGTCGTATGTCTGGCCGTTGTGGGCTCTTTGGCTAAAAGTACCGTCAATGAAAAACTAACGAAGTACACAAATCTAGCAATAGAATTAAAAAAACAATGAAAAGCACACCATCCATATAGTACCCATAGTTCTGTCATCCACAGGAAATATTTATTTAATTCAGGCTACGTGGCCCATATTATAAATACTTTATAGACTAACATACATAAGAAATAATAATAAAATGTGTAATTAAAATTGTCTCTATGGTCACGGCACTGACGACGGCAATCTGCCACGGTAGCGCCGATACACCACACTCTTCAGCCAGTAGTCCTCCTTCATGAAGGTGGGCAGCATGTTGGTGGGGACCAGGGCCACGAACGCTTTGAAGCTCGCGTTGTGACTCGACTCCAGCTGCGTCACCCTCAATGTCAGGTTACTTTTGGTCCGGATGTAGTCAATAATGTCCTGTTCCTTGGTAGCGTAGTGTAGGCGGGAAAAAAGAAAAAGAGAGATATATAAAAAGAGAGATATATAAAACATATATAAAAGAATAATAATATTAAGCTGTATCTAATACACACAACTTACAAATTACCTCAGATAAAGTTTGAAAGTACCAGGATCTTGCAATAGAGGTAAAAACACAATGTCGAGCCGAAACTGTACATACTGTACCTATTGTACTTTCTACTACGGGTATTGTACACAAAACACTTGAAAATAGTCTGCAAACACTAAGTATTTACCCTAGCAAAACATACCTCTTACAAAAAGCCACAATACTAAATACCTGTCGCATAACTCGAAAATTCTTGACCTCCTCAATAATAACATCACACAGCACAACCTCTCCCAAACTTGGCTAAGGCCCGTGTGGGTACTGCCTTCTTTTAAATTTATAAAAGAAAAAAAGAAAAGATAAATAGAATAATAATCTTTATTTACTGTTTATAAGGGAACTTACAATATTAAAAAAAAACAAAAATATATATTTATACAATCTAGTCCTTGTGAGAGTCTGGAGTCTGCACTCTCAAGTCGAAATCTGTGCTACAGATCACCAGGCTCTCTGCGAGGACTTACTGTGCTAGAATAGAATAGAAAATCATTTATTCAAATCAACTTAATGTAAGCAGTTTTGAATAGTCATAACATTTTTTTAATCTAACGCTCATTCGAAAAGCTCTTTTAAAAAATCCTTCACATTTTACAAGTCGAAACGTGTGAATACAAACTTCCAACAAGCACTAATTTATTTCAAATATTAATACACTCTCTGATTAAATCAGTCGTAGTGATAAGAGCAGACCAGTCCCAACAAGCAGAACTCGTTCACGAGTATGACGTATGAGCCAGTCATCATTGCACTCGACCATATTTTAGGGTAATGACCCGGCCCACCACGCCGCCACATGTCTGGTCATTTTAGAAAAATGACTACTCATTCCACACGACCACGTCACAGCTACAAAAATTACTATATATAGTTACAGTATTCACACTTTACATGAGGATGCAGTGTGTCAATACAAAAGCCGCTACGCTATCATATATCAAGAAAGCAGTATGAAAAAGAAATTATAAACTTATTCTTGCTATTTAAGAAATCATCTTAAAAAATATTAATAAATCTTTTTGAGGTAAAGTTGAACAATTTGTCGCTATGTATGGTGGCTAGCATTATTGTCTATACATATAAATAAAATTGGAGTGTCTGTTTGTAATATTGAAATAATCGTTTTTTACTACATGCAAATGAATATGAATGGTACATATACCTAACATATTACGTGAACGTAGCCTATATAGGTATAACATTTTTTATAATTTTTGTCTTCTGTATAATCTGTCGGTCTGTTTGTTTCGGCTAATCTCTGATGATGGCTGGACCGATTCTTACGGGACATTTTTTGACAGGTAGCTGATAAATAAGGAGTAACTTAGGCTACTTTTATTTTAGAAAAATAAAGTACAATTCCATGCTGACGAAGTCGCGGGTACAGCTAGTAGTATATATATTTACATTAGTACTATAGTAGGGTAGTGTGTCGACTATGAACCGTCATTAACCGTCTTTTTCCACTCTAATTCACGCTATTTAAAAAAGAATCACTTTGAAACAAAACTTTCTGTCGACATTTTACACACGCCGGCCGAGCACGGTCCCTTTCCCGAATGTTTCTCGGCACACGAAACTGCCGACTAAAGTTTCTCGAGTCGCTGGAATAACTTAACATCAGTTTTTATTGCACACATACATATTGTTACGACCTTATTGTGTTAAAAGAACGGATCGTTTTATAGCGCGCCGTGCAGCGCGGCGACATCAAAGCTCGATGACAAATATCTGTTCCTCGCTTTATTTCCCTTCTATATATCGCTTCGGTTATTGCTAAGAAATATTATTGTGTACCTTTTCTGTAGCGGATATAATTTATTCTGGATGTTTTATGTTTCCAGCTCGTTGGATCCTCCTTCAGGCTCCATTTACGTACACCTGTTCGTGAACTGCGGCGTGACCAATTATACCTGAATTAGATGTACGAATATTATAACATATATCATTGCGCTTTTAAAAGTGGTCGAGCGCATTGATGGCCGGATCATCCGTCATACTCGTGAACGGGTGCTGCTTGTAGGGACTGGTCTGCTCTAAACACTATGACTGATTTCCTCTTATTAATTGTTTAACCAGTTGTTGTGTATTCAATATTTTTTTTTTTGAGTATTTAATTGAATTAGTGATAATTGGTAGTTTGTATTCACACACTTAAACTTAAATTGTAAAGTAAGAATAAAATTATTTAAAAAAGCAACACACAAGTTTCTTGCTCGTTCTTCTTGTGATGAGACAGCTTTCCGAATGAGCGATTAAAAGAATGATAACTATGACTATTCAAAACTGCTTAAATTAAGTTTATTTGAATAAATGATTTTCTATTCTGTTCTATTCCGAACTGACGGTAGATTTGACATATCATAAGTCTGTAATAGACCTACATGAATAAAGATATTTTGAATTTGATTTCGTTGGGATTTACATTGAAATACAAGAATAACCTTAATATGATAATAACTGACACGCCCGCGGTAAGCACAAGCTATGAGTCGTTAACCTGGACAGATTAAACTTCATCATTTGTGTTATACAGCCGTCCGTTGGATCCAGAGCGAGCGGTCTTAAAATTATAAGTAAATCATTTAATGTTTATATTATCATAATATCTACTGGCTGTAATGGTATTTTAATTTGAAGAATTGAAATGAAATTTATTTGCGTTTGCAATATATTAGATAATATTTCCTTTTTATTTATTTATTCATTTATTTCGGATATGTCTCCATATTGTGTTAGTAAACAAGTGTTACTTGGGGCGGCAGCAGCAACGAGAGACTATTAATTTCTTCTTCCAATTATATGTATTTTTCACTTCGAGCATCTAAACCGAACTGGTCTGTGCAATATGGTGGTTGTATTTTAAAGTCAGTCCGTAGATGGGACTGTTATGGAAAAATCAGAACTTTTTTCTTGTACTCAATAATAAACATGATTATATCAAACTTATTACATACATTTTATGTCATAATTATACATAATTAGATGAAATGATTTTCTATTTATATATTTACAGTTTATAAGCATAAATAATATTTATTAAATAAAATGTGGTGGTTATCTCAGCGATGTCCAGTATCTCTGAAGCAGACAATCATATTATTAGCATAGTAATATATGCAGGTAATAATATTATTAGCAACTGTTTAATTGTCCCATTTTACGGGCATGAAAATTTTGAGTACATT